TGTTCCACCTTGCATAATAGTAAGTTCCTTGAAATTACAGCTGGCCGTAACGGTGTCCTGCAGCTTAATAAATTTTTTGGCGTCAAATGGCGTTAGAAACTTGAAGATAATGGGGCAACTGCTTTGTGAAGGTTTTTTGCGCAAACGTTTACAATCGCAGGGCGAACTTACCATACCGCAGGCTCTTAGGATCACACCTTTAGCGGTTTCTGAGTGCACGTTATCAGGCACACTGTACACTATGGCTTGCTGAGACGATGCTAATCGCTTTATTGTCTCAGTAGCAGCGAAATCTACTAAAATGCTGGCCTTCTGCAGGTTGTCACTTGATGGGGTTTTAGGAATTGTCCTGGTGCGAACTTGACAGACGCAAAGGTCAATTACTAATTATTCAAACTTGCTACGTACCCACGAATATGAGACCAAGGAAAAACACGATAGCGTGGTCGGATGGAATAGTATATATAGGTGGTTGCGCCAAGATGCCGATGCGTTCCAACTAACTGGCTAGACAGCTGATTACGAGCAGTGCAGCGTAACATGACAGCACGCTAAATGGCGAGGGTGCTTGACCGAGTGCTTTCGGCTTAGCGAGTCCAGTTAAACTATCAAGGTCAGCATCAATGATGAATGACGTCGAACCCTAGGCTATTGATTTTGGGGGAGTGTTTGACGCTACAGGGTGTTAGGTCTGTCAAGCAAACAAGCTAAAGGAAAGAATTTCTCCAGAGTCCCTTGGAAATCATCTAAGATAACCCTAATGTTGGCAATGTCACTTTGGTTTTCCCCGAGTCTTACATCTATTCCCGAGACAATGTCTGAAGCTTTGATGATTGGTGTGCGGAAAATAATTTCTCCCGCATCTGAACTACAGGCTTAGGCGTCTATCTCATCCCATTTAGAGACGGATCCCGAAGCATTCGTCTTCGGATTTCCACTAAGATAGTCCATTTTCCAGCGCCAAGCTTTATTTCTTCCCATGGTTAAGGTATAGATCCTGGTTTATTCTCTGTTGCTCCAATGAGAGGTTATTTAACACGGAAAGCTAAACGAATTCGCCATCCAAATATGATGCATGTGTGTATTACTACCTTTCAGGTGGTACCAGTTATCATAGTGGACAGAGTGACCGATTCATAGCAAATGACGGAACTCACGTTAAGATGTAACGGTTTCGAACGTGTCGCATGTATGTGACCCAGTGTCGTGTGAGTGAATGCGCCTGAAGGTGAATTGAGCTTCCACGCTGGCAAATCATGTGGATGGCCTGTAAGCCAGAAGGAGGAAAGCTGAATGATCACTGCCATCGGCGCGGGTCGCTAGTTGTTCTCAGCCACCGACAAGCGATACAAATAAGCAGTCATGAAATGCGAGAATTAGAACACAAAGTAACCCATAGTTAAAGGCGAATACAGAACGATGATGCAACCTCCATGTCAAAAATGGAAACAGGACAAATAAACCACCGAAAAAGGGAAAAATAAAGGGTTAGACACAGTGAGAGAGTGGCGTTAGGCCTCACCAGTTATGAGAGACTGAATGTGTTGCCATTACGTAAAGCTTAGCCGCCCCACTTAGCTCGACATGCTGTAGTGCCCGCAAATTCAGTAACTCGCCCAACACGCAAGCACCGTCGACAAAACAGAAATCAAAAAGACTGCGTTATTTGGGAATGTGCTCAAAAGATTAATATGCTTAAATAGAATAAAGATGACGGTGAGTTTTAGGGTGAAGGCTTATTCAATTTGTCTGGCTAATATGGCTGGGCTAGGGACTCCGAGAACATGCAGAGGGGCGCGGAGTGGCAATGAAGCTTACTTGGACGAGTGCTTGTTAAAACAAAACTCAAAACGTCTCCTGCTTACGGAGGTGAGCCTGAACTACTCGGCCAACTCAGCCCGATCTTTTTACTTTGGCCCCAGTTGTATTTTTGCGCCCGAAAGGTGCACCGCAGCCCTATAAAATGACCGCACACACCTCTGGCTCCCACTCAAGTCACCTTCTCCGACACTGCACGACGCTTTGTTGCATAATGTCTTAGCGTTGACCTTAATCGTTGGCGGGTGTTAAAGTCAGGTGGCAAACTTCGTTAAACGGTGGCTTTTTGTGCAAATAGCATCCGACATTTATCAGATATAATCGTCAAAACTCCGGTACGCCTGGTGGAATACAAATGTTCGGGTTCGTAACAACCTTTTGCTGTTTATGGCTTCAATACCGCATGACAGCAAGCCAAAGGCATTTGGGAAGTCCGCGTGTGATCCACATGATTGCCGTCATATGATGCTAGATGGCGAGGTTTAACCGACAGGAAGCCGTGGATATAGGTTTCATGCCTGCTGACAGTCATCAGTTGGCTTACCTGAAGCCACGGTGGAGGCGATTTTCCTTTGGGGGTTAAAACCCGCGCCATTCAGAGGTGAGGTCAGTGTTGCGTCGAATCCGCTGGGTAGCAAGTAACGAAGATACGAATTTTCGGAGTTCCCAAAGCGAAACCGACCAAACCCAAAACAATTGGTTGCCAAAAACGAATGTATATTCAAACGGTAAGTGAACCCTGCAAGCGTTGTTATTTAAAACAAAATATACGCACAAAACCTAATCACAAACCTTCAATTTTGACGGCTACTGCAGTTTCTATTCAGAACGTGGTACAATTATTACACTAATCGAAACAAGTGGTTAACCATGGTTGTACAAGCAAGTTGAATGAAGTTAAACTAAATGAGTGGTCAATGTTTTTGAATACATTTCAAGAACGAAATCGAGAAGCACTCAACAGTCAGAGACATAACCATCAAGTCATTTGAGCAACGATTAAGCCCTGCAGGACTGGATCATGTACCCCACCTCGTCACCACTGCGCAACCTATACGGCTGCCCAGTATTTATTTCTTAGCACTGATCTGATAACTTTGGTCAGTACTGAGAAATAAAGACTAGACAGCCACATATACCGCTCGCTGGCGATAGGTTCATGTGTACATATCACAAGTATTCGAACTGCAACAAGTTTCGGAAACTGCCACTAGGTAAGACCTCCGTTGCAGTAGTTATCAAATCTCACATAAAGCGGTGGCCATGTAACTCTGGTTACATGTGAAATGCATCGTCATTAAATCCGCATCCGTTGAGAATCATTTGTAGGCGACTGTGAGTTGAAAAAAGGCGACATACAGTTGAGTATTTGGTCACTTCTGGTTTGGGAACGAATCTAATGATGGAAAAATTCAGAAGCTGCTTTTTTGCAGAAAGTTTTGTCTGGCAGAGGGAAAACTCGTTATTCAGTAATCATGCCCGTTCGTAGTGAAGCAGCTCAGTCAGCTGGAATGTCGAATTGGTGGGGGAGATTATCAAGTCAGTTAACACAGGAGATGTCTGGCACCCAGCAAGGATCTTATAGCTAGTGTGTGTAACTCTGCCCTTAATATTCCGTAGGTTTGAAATGTCTAGAACTTAGTAAAGGCATGCGGCCATGTTCCAGTAGTCATTACGTGGAAATCCACCTGTAGCACAAAAAATTATATGCTAGGCGATAGTTGAAAACCAGGTTTCTTAGGTTACATAGCCCAGTGACTTCTTTAATTTACCACTACTAGTCTTCCAGATACTAGGTGCAGTATGAAGTCTGCATGACACTTTGGGTCCTTGGGATGGATGACATAACAAGTGGCATAATTAGACCAGCACATGCAGTTTTGATAACATAGAACATTGATACAATAAAATTCATAGCCCTTCAGTCGGCGCAGGGGTTGAGCTTGTGGGGCGACAAAGTCACCTAAAAAGCCAGTTGCATACCCCGTTTACTCTTACAAAAACTCAGGCTGATTATTGCATGCCAATCGGCAATGGGGAGTCACACTGGAAAGCTGTAATATCTGGCACGGCATGAGTAGAGCACTCCTGTTCACGACTGGGGTGCTGGTGTTACCAAAAGGCAGGGTAGTCATCTGGGGAAATAGACGCACCAGAAGTACTGCTACTGTATCATGACTATGCAGTTAAAACCTCCAAATGGTTATAAACAGATCCTAATGAAGAGGTTTTGACGGCCTGTTTATGGATCAGAAACTATATAAAATACATACTGAAAGCTGTTTGAAACTCAGCTGCAGCTAGAAGTGTTTCACAAGCTTTAAAGTTTCTTCTGCCAACACATTATAGGATAAAGATAAACTACACGCATAAATTAGGCTGGTGACAATAACTCCAGAAATCGGAAAATTGGCTAGAATACTCAAGCGATGCCAAGTAGTACGGCAATATTAAACTAGCATGAATGTTTGCTTACATGCCTTCAGGCCCAAAATATGTGGAGTGAACTCACTTGTCAGTTCTTGGCTACTATCACCAGTGAAGGTTTCCCAGCATGAGGCTCTTCACCACGTACATAGCCCGAAGGAAACGAGATTCCACGTATATGATCAGCAGACTAACTCAAGAAAAGTCAGCTATCAGAACTCGACACAACTTTTCGGGTTAACGAATGTATCTCTATTTAATTTTCCGTCATGGCAGGTGAAAAAGCCTTCTCACGAAAGTCTGTTCCGAAGGTTAAGCTACGACATGACTTTGCATTCGTTAGCATCAGCCTGAACTAAGATTCACTGGTCGTGAAGATTTCTCCCCATTTTATCAGTCCGAAAGCCCATTAATTCAATATTAACCTTCTGTTTGTCTTTCTTAATCTTGTTTGTTCTCACCCACCTACATGCAGTCACTATTTCATTATCTGTTACCAAACACTGCGTGACAAACCGGTGAAGGTAGGAGAGAGAAGTAGACAAGTTATGCTCGTCATTATCCTCAAATCTTTTAACGATCATTATCCCCATATACTGGTGGGCTAAAATCAATCTATACGCCACTATTTCACTTCCTTTCGAAATATGGAAGTAGTAGAAACATTTGGCTATTATGTTTTTATCTAAAATTGAAGACTCAATTAAAAAGTTGGTAGTGAATTTTGCTACTTGAATAAAGTTAGTTTAAATTAATCGGAGTGATCTGCCCTTCGCAGTTGGCTTTAAAGCTCACCTGTTAAACAGCGTTACTTGTAAGTGTGACTTCAAGAACATGGATGTTCAAAGTTTTCAAACAAATGCTAATAACTTTTTCGGACGTGTCATTCAGGTATGTGTTTATTTATTGTGCATCATAAAAATTATTGCAGATGGCTGAAGAGGCATTCAATACAGCTGAACGAACACCTTTGAATATGGATTTAGACAGACTAATTAAAGAAAGCGAAAAAAGAAGAAAATGGGCGGAAAGTCTAGTCGCGCAAACAGAAAACATGATTCAGCCAAATCCAGGTGAGACTACTATGTGCAAACCATGCTTTATACTGCTGAAGTTTAACACACTTAGCCTAACTTATTAATCATGACCAGCAGGTTTCTAGAGAAACGTTTAAGGATCTTTAAACGTTCTTACCGCAAACCCCAATATCATTTATTCACGTAGAAATTCTTATGCGAGGTTAGTTATCAATTAAATGTGAAGTATGAATGCACCGTCTTCCAAATATTGTTTTCAAATAACCATTTATAAAGAGATTATGCTGGGGGGAAATACCAGGTCATTCACACATACATATATAAATATATCCACTCAGCGCGGCGTTAAGGGATTACTCAGCATATAATTAAACAATAACAAAATGATTTCGAAAATCCTGTCATCTACTGGACAAGGTCAAGAGCTTCGACTTTTATTTCAAAGTATAGACTGAATTGCACGTCCGGGTGAAGTTCGTATGTGTTTCGTATAGCTAATAGGACACGCTTCTACGAAAGGTTGTGGGACCCTAGAAAAATGTCACACGAAAGCTAACGTCAACAGTGTGAAAACGTCTTCAAGCCATGACTTATGATCAACTCTGGGGTTTTAAGCTTATGTGCTTAAAAATTAGTGATGCAAGACAAACAGGCATCTTCTCGATGGATGAGAACCACTTTGCACTCGATGGAACTGAGTTCATTGGATCCGGCCACCTTAGCCTAGTGATTAGGCCTGTCGTAGTTTCGAATTAAACTTCGTCTTTGATTAATAAGACTAATACCGACTTAGGTATTATTTACAAAAATTTATCTCAGTAAGTGACATATACACTAACGTTAGTGCCACGAGAGAATATTTTTTTTGTCTATTTCTCTAGGAAAAATAATTGATATGGTGATGAAAATTAACACTTCACTAATTTTGTATCCTTAAAAGCGTGAAAACGTATGTGTGTTTATATATTTACAAAACTGCAGAACAAAATATCTTGTTGCTAGATAAAATGTTGTTTCGCAGGAAAACTGTGTTGGTAGCCAAAGAAACCTCACAGTGGTTGCAATACTCATATACTTTTCATTCCAGTTTAGATGACCATATTTCGACAGATAGTTTTGTTTCAATGAAAGGGTTTATGTGGATTAAAATTTAGATTATATCTCGCAGAATCAATAACAGTACATTCTGCTGACCGATTAATTAAGATTTTCAACACTCCCATATGTCACAGTTTCATCCGGAATTCATTCAGGTCATTGAGATATATGAAACCTAAACGTGAAACACCTTGGCCATATGATTTCATGCTGATACCATTCACCAATTAAGTGGGAGTATGAAATAAAATTTTATTAAAAAGTATTCAGAGTAGTAGCTGCCATAGTAGCTCTGAAGATGCAAGGGTTATACTACACCGTTAATCAACAAAGTTTCGCTTTAAAAGTTTTGAATAAAGAACGTCAGATTTGTTGGGTAGTGACTGACTCAAGGCTAGATCTTAAGGTTTACGATCTTTAAAGCGGTTTCTTAGAGTTTAAATTAGGTAACAAACGGGTTAAAACATATTCTAAATGGGAATTCACTACCTATTCACCCAAACAGACAAGAAATCTCAGTACTGTTAGATGCTATGAATAGTTTGAAAAGTGTATATATGTAAATATGATCAAATTTGCAATATAATTATGACTCTACTGTAAACCATGAAATTTCGAGGTAACCTTCAATTAATACCAAGCAGTTACTTACCTCATGTATAGTAAGGCTGAAAATAGAGAGAATCAAAGGATTTTTAAATCGTTAGGGCTGTCAAGACCCGTAGGATAAGACATATGTTATTTTTACCATCTCTTTCAGCTCTTGTGAGATACTGAACAATACGATTGAAGATAATATGATCAGTTGTCAACTAATCAGCAGGGATAAAAGCACGGTCAGATAGGTGTACTTATCTGCAAAGCGTAAAGAGCAAAATAGCATCTCTATAAGATGATATGACTTGTCATGTGGTCGATTTTCTCAGGGATAATCATATTTTTTAAGTAATTCACGAAAGAAGACCCAGCCGACAGTAAAGCTGTTCCAACGGCTTTGAGTTTTCTAAAAGATAGCATACTATACTGTTATTTGTCAAGAGTTAAATTCAACAAATGTTTTTGTCGTGTGAGAGAGTGGTAAAAGTAGGATAAGAAACAAGTGGGTTTAGTTATAATTGTACTGTTTTTTATCGTACAGCTTTTGAGTAGCAGTTCCTTGAAAATATGAACTGCTTAGAGTCTACTTATCATTAACGATCATAAATTTACTTTCAGGGTATGAAGATAGAACTCAGGCACTATGGTAGAGTATAGTTTCATACTGGATATTTTTCTTTTAAATTTCACAGGAACACAGTACCAGTTACCAGGTCACATCTTTGTTAAAAGTTATCATTTCATGATCATATTAGTCTGGTTGTTTAACGTTTGACATTAAATAGTTTCTATTTTTGGCGTCAGTAGTAGCACAGTTTTACATATGTCTGGGGTAGGCGCCTCATTATTTACATATCATTTAGGGCAGTGATTTAACTAGTAACGCTTCTGTAGTCAGTCTCTTCACTTAACTGCATTGCTGTTTGGAACTATGGACGTCTTTTTCTGAGCATCTGAATTCTGTCCATCCAAACAATCACTATCCTGAACGTCTTATGGAGGATTAAACGTTGTATAAACTTCCAGCATATCCTTTTTATTTTAATTGATATTCACAAATGTTATGGATGTCTTTTTTGATCTGCAGCTAATAGTTGTATAGGTTGGAGTGAAGTTTGACATATCGTTAAGTATTATCCAAAGTGAGTTGAAAACAAAAATACGAGTGTTTTCAGCCTGGTTAGAATATTATTTTAAAAAATCATGCATTAAACATTTACTTTTATAAATGACATTAGTTTTTTCCTTCCAACTCTACATCATAATTCACACTTTGTCAGAGTTCATTCGATTCAACTAAAAAGCATGATCTTAGAATTATGCTTTTATTCTACACATACACCTTTGATGGGACAATGCCTGTCATTTATTAGCACAACAAGTATTTGAAGGAAGTAATGTATTCACTAATCAGCTTGATGAAATGTAAATGTCGTAACATATTTATTTCTAAAAAAGGGTAAAAAACCAACCTGCTAAATGCATCCATAAGGAGTACGAATATTTAATTCGTAAATAAATAGGAGTTGATCATTTGGCTTTTGGATGCTTTTTAAAAACGTTGTACATATGCATAAGAAGCTTACTGAAAGTTATAAGAAAACCTTCCATGGATAAAACATATTTTACATCTCACTAAGCTTTACGCTTTAAAATAATGGCACCGATTAATCAGTTGATATACATATGATAATTCATCAGAAGGTGACCAGATGAATGTGTTAAAAGCTATACTCAGTATATAAAAGGTTCCATTTTATGACTGCGCTATGAAGCTAAGCACAGAAATTCGTCATGAACACAAAAACATACATACATTCAATTCATACACTGAGCGCATTTGAGGAGTTCACATACAGATCATTGTAAAGCATAAATTAGTTCACGGGTATATTCGTTGTAATAATCTTGCAAATAACGGAAATCACTGTGTAATTACGCAATAACGTTTGCTCATTTTGAGTTCTATAACTTGGGAATGAATAATATAAACGGCTGTTCGGATGAGTTATCAAAACTTCAGCCTATTCGTATACTTGTTTTGTCATTAGTACCGCAATCACTTTGTTTTCATCCATTCAGTTATGCATCAAATTATCATAGGTAATCTATATTCATGTGTTAAGTTACACTTTTTAAAGGTGCACTTACTACAAAAAGACGCTTAATCGTAAAAGAAGTATTTAATAGGGAAATTTTTGTATCTAATGATCAACAACAGCTTTAAAGAGAAAAGGTGCTCCATATTAGAATTATAAAAGCCGTTTAATTTAGTCAGCAACAGCAGTTGTATATGTGGCGAGCCTAGGAAAATATGTATTATTCAGTCAAACCTCTTGTAATGAAGTTATTGGACTACAGCGAATATCTATAGTATGCAGCTTTGTTTAAAAAAATACTGCACTTGCATCTTATATTAATGATAGTCAGTGGTCAGGAGTGAAATCTAGAATGCACGTTTCTTCCCATTTGGGACTCATAATTTGGATGCACCTGCTTCCAGGTGCTGCTTCCAGAAAGTGGTCGCTTCAAACCCCAGAGCGCTATCTCACTAGGCCACTGAGTCACAATTGTCACTTCTTGTACGATGGGTATAGTTTTTATTTTGCAACTTGTGCTGTCCTGTCGTTGAATGGACCGAAATGGGAGTGTGGTAGAGTACAACTCCACACAGCACACAGTGATGGAGTGTCATTTACTTTGATATGAATATGAACAATAACTTATGTTCAGGACGTCATCCAGTGGATAATGCTGTATAACTCAATGCCATTTAAAGTAGACAATCTATTATGGAGTTTCATTGTGAAGAGACATACTTTCTCTTTTTTGCTGTTTTATTTGTCAGCGGGGTCAGATATTATCAGCAGTTGCTCATGGGGATTATTTCATTGTATTGGTTTTCTACGCCTTCCCCAATTTTCCAGGTTAATCATGAGAGTGGCTTCTAATCAGACATATATGCATGAAAATGGTGTAAACAACAAGCCATGTACTGTTTATAACTCCATGGGAGGCAAAGTCCCCGGATATTTCCCTTTATCTTCTTACCAGGGTCGGGAGCTAATTCCTAGTCTGGGTTATCTGGCCAAGACCAGTCGTGTCTCGCAGTCATCAACCTACTAATAACAACCCCCTGCCATCACAGTTAAACTGTGGCACCCAGGCATTTTAGCTAATTCTAAAAAACCTTATCATAATAACCATTCTATTATAAACAATCTTGATAAAATTTGGGATTCTTGGCAAAAATATGCTCTTTTACAACATTTTTCAATGATGCTAATTAGAGCAGTTTAAGTTATGTAACTGAAGAAGAGAAGAAATAGTGCAGGGAGGAAAAAGTTCTTCCCCGGCGATGTCACATAAAAGTATGTTATTGAGAAATAGGGTGTAATTGTTCCATTAAGTTAATGTTAAATAACCGAAATCAAGGATGGAAAGTAGTTGCTCAATAATCTTTTAGACAATGGAAACAACTAGAAAGACAATGAGTTTGACAAGGTGAAACTTGTTGGTAGTTGTGAAATGTGACTATTGAATGTTTACTTGATGAATATAAAGAGAGGATAAAAAAAGAAAGAAGAGTCATAATTAGGTCGGAAAGTTGAATAAGTGGCAGTACTTTGGTAAGATAAGCGATTGAACACACTTTTTCTGCACTCAGAGTTAATACTTGAAGTGGTGAATTGCCAGAACTTCTGCAGTATAGAACTGTCGAGAGCGTACTCCTATTGAACTGTTCCATTTAACACTGAAGGAGGCTATATGTGCAGCTGTATGTCCAAAGTTGACCGGAAATTCAAGAATTGAACTATTAGTTGATTTACATTCTCTTCTCGACAAGCGTGTAGAATAAAGCTCAAAGATATATTTGGAAAGTTCGTGCATTATGTTAGGACAAGTACTTAAGATTCATTATTTCGGTATTTATATTTCCCAATAAATTTGTTGCAACTAACATTTCGCTATTTAGTTTTAATAGCTTCATCGACGTTACAGTAAACCGGAATTTATAATATCTTCCAGGCTTATATATGATAACTTGATAGGTGTTCTTCTTCATGAATAATTCTGCGTCGTCAGAATTGTTGAATAAAGATAATATCCGTATATAGCATTCTGTGTGTGTGAATTACAGACTGAGACATATGTACGCATGTGTTGATAGTTCTTATCATGTGTATGTATGGTCATGTCAGTATGTGGGGGTGGGTTGAGACCCGGTCAAACTACGGTTTACTCCATCATCTCTATTTAGATAATTTTGATTCCACTTTATATGAAGAAATTCTATTATGAGACGTCCTTTATAATTTATAAAGTCTTTCTGAATAACTTCGATACTGTCAAAATCGACCTTGTTACCTGAAATTATAGCATGTAGAACTATGGCTGATGTATGTTCAAGTTGTTTTTTTCCAATTTTACTGGATTTCTGGGGAGTCGGGTGGAAGTTCTTCCATGTGTTCATATTTTCTAGCTTTAATTTCATAGGAAGTCTGTCCTACGTATATTGCCTCGTAATCTAAGCGTGTTATTTTATAGACACAATTGAATTGTGAATTCAGGGGGATTTCGTCCTTCAAATGAAATAGCGTGTTTGATGTTCTGTAGAACATTCTGATATTGCATTTGTTGAGTACTGTCCTAATTTCATCCAAAATGATCTGTTAGCGATAAGTATTGTTGAAGCCCATGACTTAGAAGTAGTTTCATTATGTAATCTAATGTTATTTTCTATTTTGCGACTGAATTTCACGAGATAATTTTTTATTTTAAGCATTTTGTCCACATATTTTAGTTGCTTAACTCATCTATTACTAGAGTGTAGTCTCTTTACGAGACTAGAAGCAACAGAAACTTTTAAAATAATTGGATGTGATATCTTGAAATCTGAGTATTTGTTCAAATGCGTTGACTTCCTGTAATAGTTGTACGTCAATGTTCATTTTCTTTTCGTTTAATAAGGCAGACAAGGAAAGGCTATTCCCCCTTATTCATTTCTTTTTCTGAGTTGAGCTGATCTAGTATAAGTTACGTTTTAAAATTACGAATGTGTCATGAATACATCTCAGCCAATCTTTTGGCTTTAATAATTGAGTTAAGACACTTTCTTCGAATTTATTCATAAATACGTTAGGTACTATGGGTGAAACAGGTGAACACTTAGCAAAACTGTTAGTTTGCCTGTGCTATTATTATACTATTACTTCTCCCTTGGGTTCCTAGTATAACATTGGGATTTAGTAGCACATCTCCATTCCACTCTCTTCTCTGAAATCTTTCGAACCTGGCTCCACGACAGCCCATAAGCTCTTATTTCCTCCTCACACCATCTTCTCCACGTCACCCTTGCCTAAGACGCCCAACTTGTTGCTTCCCATCTGGGTTCCACTCGAGTGCCTGGCCTGGCACGTGGTGTTCCCGAATGGTATTCTCAGTGTATACCCAATCCATCTCCACTTCTGCATATTTATTTTTGGGTGATATGTTGTTGGTTGGTTCGTTGCCAGCCAGCTAGAGTTCCTTGTTGCTTATTCTAACTATTCTGGCCATCTGACCTCCATCTCCACCATCCAGTGAGCGTAGGTGGCAGTTGTTGATGTGATGTATGTCTGTAGATTGTTGGAAATGCTTTCCGTAACGCATCAAGTCCCTCAACTATCACATAGAAGCACTGAATTACTTGACTGGATTAGTGTTGAAAATCCTGATCTTGTTAACGCTTTATGCTGAGTGGAGTGGAGTGCAGTGCAGTGCAGTGCAGTAGGTCTCCACACTGATTTCACGTAAGTGAAGGTCTGTCTTACTGTCTTCGTGATCCTGGCTTTGAGGTCTTCGTGTGTGCGTGTACCACGTGTAGTTGAAAAGATACTGCCTTGGTAGGTAGGTGAGAGAGACAACTTCCTTTACGTTTCTCCCTTTGATGGTGATATAAGCTTCTTCTTGTTGTTGGTAGTGGTGGCGTTGGTTGGGTATCATCATCACCTCTCTCTTGTCTACATTCATTTGAAGTCCCATCTTCACTGCCTTTTCTGTCAACTTGTTGGATTTCACCTGTATATCTTTGAGTTTGTGTGTGAAGTCAGTAGTCTAAGCAGAATTTTAGGGCCTCGATGATAGCGCCAAACTAATGAATATTGTTTGCCCAGTGCCCAAAATTTTTTCAAACCATCAGTTCCCATCTTGGTTTGGATATCTATGAAATGTTAAATATACTGAAATGGCTGATTATTTAGTATTACAGAGCTGATAATTGTATTCTGTCCTAACACTTTTTTCCCTCATATTATATGTGCGCTAAGTGAGGCACAGTTGAATTCTTATATTTAATTATATGAATTTTAACTCTTATATAATTTTCTTCTTGGTTTTCTAGAGAAAATAAATAAAAGTTTACTTTAAATAGTTTCACACTTTATCTTAATTTGGTCAAGACAAATAATTAATTCATATTTTTACTTGAAAAAAAGATGAAATAATTTAATGGTTGTAACATTATTTCATATATTATTTTATATAATTTCTACTACCTACTGTAGCTCTACGAGTTGAAGATCTTATCCTTAAAGGTATGGATCGAAAAAAATGCGTACAAATGCCGGTGAACAATTGGGTGAAAGTATGAATGCTATTGGAGATCTTCTTGGTGAAAGAACTTCTGGAGGTAAGTTGAAAAATGATTATAGTTATGCTTTTGTTTCATTGAATTACATATCAATAATGCATAATGGCTAACAGTGGAATCTTATTTGCGTCTCATCAATTGGATTTACCTGCATTGAATTACAATTTGTTAATTGTCTATCATTATATTTTATGAGTATGTCTATCGACTTTGAATTAAAATTCGGATTCTTGGAATAAATGTATCTAAAATAGTGTCAGATCGTTGATAGATCCTAAAATCGAATACATTTGAATTTAAGGTAATACAATATGTAGTGTATCGAAAGTATCTAACATCTCACTGAATATATAACGTAAGTTTATATATAGTTATAACATTCAGATCAGATGTGTTTTATAATGCATACCTTAACAAAATGTGGGTTATACTTTCTTTACTTGGTTGGATTAAACTTCAAATCTTCCAACAAATTCATTCCTATGTATCTTCTTTTCTAGTGTATGATACTATTGTTGATATGTAGTAATTTATGTCTTTATCTGCAGTGAATATCATTCCTTCAACAATAGTAATGCAAATGACTTGCAAATGACGTTGAAGAACAGTGAAAGACTTATCTACAATAAATTGTGTTACAATCTAACAATCGACAGCATATACACCTCCACTGCTGACATAAAAATTTGTGATGATTTAGCCCCTTATAGCGATTGAATTCAGCTGAATGATGATACTATATGCCAAGTGGTTCACAAATGAAAGCTCAGTGATACCTTTGAAGGGAAGCGAAAACAGGGGTGAGACAAGCTTGCCTACTATCACCGATGATCTTCTTGGTTCTGGTCGACTGGATCATGCGACACACAACTGTGAAGAGAGAGAAAATGAGTATACGCTAGCTGGACCAGTGAAAAGACACCAGAAGAAGATTTTGATTTCCCCGATAAGTTGTGTTTATTGTCGCACAATCTCGAAAATCTACAGGCGAAAACTAACAAGTTGGTAGAAGAGGCGAGGCAGCGAAGATGACACTCCCTTCAGGTAAACGTAGACAAGACAAAGTTGATGAAGTTATCCAACTGACAACTACAACACCAACAACAACAACAAGAAGAAGCTTATATCACCATCAAAGGGAGAAACGTAAAGGAAGTTGTCTCTCTCACCTACCTACCAAGGCAGTATCTTTTCAACTACACGTGGTACACGCACACACGAAGACCTCAAAGCCAGGATCACGAAGACAGTAAGACAGACCTTCACTTACGTGAAATCAGTGTGGAGACCTACTGCACTGCACTGCACTGCACTCCACTCCACTCAGCATAAAGCGTTAACAAGATCAGGATTTTCAACACTAATCCAGTCAAGTAATTCAGTGCTTCTATGTGATAGTTGAGGGACTTGATGCGTTACGGAAAGCATTTCCAACAAACTACAGCCATACATCACATCAACAGCTGCCGCCTACACTCACTCGATAGTGGAGATGGAGGTCAGATGGCCAGAATAATGAAAATAAGGATCAAGGAACTGTGGCTGAAACGAACCAACCAACAACTTGTCACCCAACAAATATGCAGAGGAAAGTGGAGATTGGTTGGATTGGTTTGTACATGGACCGAGAAGGCGGTTTGGGGACATCACGTGTCAGGTCAGGCCGTCGAATGGAAGCCAAGTAAGAAACGGCGAGTTTGGCGTCGGAGGGTGATATGGAGGAGGTCGTGTGAGGAAATGAAATGAAAGTTTGTGGGCATTCGTGGAGCCAAGTTCAAAAGACTGCAGAGAAGAGAGTGAAATGGCCACATGCTAGTGAATCCCCATGTCCCACTATGAACCACTCAGTCGATATCATAAGGTGTGATATGATCTTTTGCCGATTCATGACACTTTGAATCGGAGATGACACCTTGTGATCTCCACTGAATGGTTTCCAGCTGAAATCTCGTTGACACTACAGTTGAGTAGTGAAAAAGACTACTCAGCTGTGAGAAATGTCATTGTGGACTGTGTAGTTTGTAAATCATTTGCAGACTGACCATCCTACTTTAGGTATATGGGTGCGTGTAAATCAGCTAGCCTGATTCAGCTGAATTTATTCAGGTACACCATTGATGATGTTGACCCCCAAACAAGCACAAACACCTGTCCGATCTTTAGATTACTTTGTTATTGTTGACGAAATGTAACGATCAGTCTAAGTGATCTTTAACTACTCAAGTTAATGAGTAGTAGTAAGTTATGCTTGATGGTGTTTTGGTATTTTCTGAGATTAGATATTTTGTCGTAAGAAGTCATAGAGAAACGGAGTCTATTTGAATGTTATACTATCTAAACATTCGTGTAATATTCTGCATGAAGTTAGTTCTGAGGATGCCACAAAGCTTGACAATGAAGCCTCCATGACAAAGTAGGGAGGTTCAGAAGACACCGGAATACTTGAGTTACAAATCTTTTTCACGGCTTATACTCAAAATATAAATATGGATACATAGAATTTTATTTTTTGTAGAGTTATGAATCGAAAACATGAATGAAGTTTATTGAAGTTTTGATATTTTCATGGATGATACAAAGTGATTACATTTGCCTCGTGCCATTTTATCTCTAGATGTATTGATTTATGCAATTTCGGTGACCCTAGTCAGTTGAATTACATTCGCTTTTATGATTCAGGTAAACAATCAGAGGCTTCATGCTGTGATGTGATGTTTTAGTTAAGCAACACAGTATCTTTCAATATCATTTAAATGCAACAATAACATTACTCAGTGTTGTTCCTTATATTGTACCGTCGTTGATCGGACCGAATTGATCGGTCTCCATTCGTCTATGGGCTCTTGCGCGGATACCTCGCTATTGTCTGTGTTTTAATTATATGTAGTAATGACGGACAGTGGCTAGCAGTGGAATCCAGGATGCGTATTTCTTCCTATTTGGGACTCGTCAGATGGATGTACCTGCCTCACAGTGAGTGATGTTGTTCCCACTGGGATTCGAACTCGGCACCGATAGCTTCAAAGGCAAGAGCATTATCTGTCGGTCTATGGAGCCACGATAGCCACTTCTTGTGCGACGTGTATAGTTTTAGTGTTACTCTTTGGATTATTGCTTGTCGCACAAGAAATGGCTGTCATCTCTCAGTGGTCTGGTGGATAACGCTTTAACGTTTGAAGCGATCGGTCCCGAGTTCGAATGCCAGTGGGAGAATGATCACTCACTAGGAGGCAGGTGCAACCAGCTGACGAGTCCTGAATAGGACGAAGTGCGCCATTATCTATCACTACTGTAAACAACATTACTTATTACAATGAAACTTATGATTTTATACAAATTTTATTTCTAAAATAATAATCAGGTTCAGCACTTAAGATATGTGCATCAAGTCAAATAAAAATTGGCCAAGCTGAACATAAATTACAGGAGAAAGTTACTTCAGAATATATCGACTGGTTACGTGATTATGTAGCAAATGAAGCCAAAATTGCAAAAGTGAGTCTACTTTAAATCACTGTGTTAGTCATTTCTGTCAGTAGATGACTGAAACTTTTTTTATTCGGGTTTGAACAAGACTTTTGAAGATTGGTATCAATATCATACTTTACTTATTATACTTGTCTAAACATGTTTTAATTCAATGATCTGTTCAATATGATTGTTTGTTTGGTTTTTTGTCTGTGTTGCATAACAACTTTCGTTTTGTATTCTTTTTATAATTAGCTGTGTTAAAGGCATGGTTATTGGTCAAAAATTAACTACCAGGTTACTAGATAACTCTTATTATCATTGGATAATGCAGAAACTAACTAAATAACTGATATTGGTGTTTTCTACTGATAAACTTCCATCAGTTTATTGATATCAAGTTAAATCAATGTCTGAGCATAATGCTTGTAGAATAGAAAAAAATGATACTTGTTTTATGCAGATGGATAGAACTGTATTGTACTTTTTTATTGGAGGAAACATGAAGTAATTCCTGATAATGCGTGTAAACTGTGGTTTATCATATATTTAATAGACTATGGTTGCGAGTAACGCAGTTATGCTTTAGCCTCAACTTATTTACATGCATTCGATATACTTGAAATATTCGATAATATATTTGTCTGAAGGCTTTTCAATTCGCTTGAATATCTATCAGAATAAATCTACTTATCACAAAACTTGTCTGCTGATTAAAAGTGGAGTGAAAATGTATGGGCTGTGGGAAGATTTGAACGAGTGACTGTCAGAGTTTCTAACCCTTAGACTCTACCAAATGAGATCTATGAAGTAGAGTACTGAGTCAAAAACCCTTTGACCTTTGTTTTCAATCCCGTTTTGGCCATAATTTTTATTTCACCTTCATTCATCACAAATATTCGTGTAAAAAATGGTATTATTGGTAAGCATTTTCACCAGAATAAATGAAAATCTACCATTAACCTAAGTTCAGAGTGTTATCTACAAAAAGTGAGATGATTCAGCAAACTGGTATACAAACGCGATCTTTATTATTATAATATTATTTGTCTCTTGGGTTCCTAGTGGAACATAGGGATTCAGTAGCACGTCTCCATTCCACTCTGTTCTCTGAAATCTTTCGAACCTGGCTTCACGACAGCCCATAAGCTCTCATTTCCTCCTCACACCATCTTCTCCACGTCACTCTTTCCTCCGATGCCCAACTTGTTGCTTCCCATCTGGGTTCCACTCGAGTGCCTGGCCTGGCCTGGCACGTGGTGTTCCCGAATGGTCTTCTCAGTGTATGCCCAATCCATCTCCACTTCCTTTTGCATATTTATTTTTGGGTGATATGTTGTTGGTTGTTTCGTTGCCAGCCAGCTAGAGTTCCTTGTTGCCTATTCTAACTATTCTGGCCATCTGATCTTCAAACGCAATCTTTAGCGTTACAATTTATCTCTTTTCCGTTCTTTTCTTCTAAGCTGTTTCGGTTAGTATACCTTATTTTTTGAAAGTAAAATTTTTAATTACTATTTTAATGCCAATTTTTTTTATCAACTAAATATTATTTATTCCCATTATTATTATAACTTTTATTTTCTAATAAATATCTACTACGCATTAAGGTTTCTATATTACGAGTCTTTCTACAGACTTATATGTGTAGAACGGTACTTGAAACATATTTATTCTTTTCAGGTTGAAGTAAATACTTCTAACTGTAAGATCTTATTCTCCATGATTGTGTTACCTCGGATAGATTCGATAAGAATTGACAAAAGATTATCTTTAAGTACTAGGTAACTTCATCTGTGATTGGATATAATATCAGAGATTGAAATCTAGATTCATCTAGATTTATGCATAGGTCTTTATCCATCTTTGGAAGCAGTTCAAATCAAATTGATTTTTGACTGAGTTTCTTTTCTAAAGATGTAAAATGAATTGCGTTTTAAACTCTCTAATGGTACTGCTGTTAGGCAGACAGATAGGCACACACAGGTTTATAGGCTCAACTTCCAATACATCACAGTAGAATACAAACGACAAGTGGATAAAAAAACAGTGATAACTATGTTGACAAAGTCGTATGAGAGAATAAACAATTTGAGAGTAAACACGTTAGTGCAAATATTCACACTTTAGAAGATATCATGGAGTAAGTACATCTACGCTATTGTGACCAATTTTCAGCCATGTCACTAAAAGCTCTCAACTATTGATTCATGTCGTCTTTCGGATCCCAACCAGACAGTCTATACCTACCTACATGACCCACACCAATAGCCTCAAACTTCATATGCCAACGCCAAGTCTTTCTCTGCCCACCGTAAACCCTCTTCCAACCTAATGCAGTTTTCCCTAGCATGATACATTGAGATGGGCAGTGACTGGTCATGTTTAACACATGTCCGAGACATTTCAGTCGACTAAAGCATACAACCTTATCAATCGACCTGTTAGTCCTGCCTACTACCATTCGCTTAACTCCAGCATTGCTCAAACGGTAATTTCACCAAATGTGAGCAATGCTACGAATACATATATGATCAAAACCTCGTAATCGCTTCATATTTTCTGCTTTAAACGGTCTCGTTTCATAGCCGTAGAGTAGGACAGAACTGACTGCAACCCAATACACTTACCCTTTAATAGGATATCTTGCCAGTGGGCACCACAGACCGCGCTGACAAAAGACAGGGCTTGCTGAGCGTGTTGGGCATAATTCTGAGTATATATGGGTGGCATGTGTTTCACACCAGTCAAATATTAGATGTCGCTTCATAAATAGTCTGCGAATACTCTCAGTTTATTGATATGGAGCGAAGTGGTGGAATGTGTCAACCACTTCACTTACTTGGGGAATTGCATCAGTCCGAACCGACTGGTTGTTGACAACATCTCACCTCGGATGTGGAAGGCCCATTTAGCATTTGCCAACTTCTGTTATCTATGGTGCCGACTGGCAAGATATCCTATTAAACGGTGAGTTTATTGGGCTGCCTTACCGTACGTTGTTCAAGATTTTACTGTTAAATATACCTCAAGGGTTCATCGTAGAAGCTAAATACATCATTTTAAGACAATGAATATAACGTATGTTCAGTCAAGATCTTATGTGACTCATAATTTCGATGTGGTTGTTGCCAAAATGAACAAAAACTAGAAAATTCATGAAAATACATCACTTTTTTCTATGTAACTTTTTTCTTGTTTGTGTCTAACAAGTTGAATCAAAACTATTTTGTTTGTCAATTACATATATACAGCAAGAGCGAGACAATTTGGAAACTGCTCGTTTAGATTTGGATCGCTTAAAAACATTGCAAAAACGCGCTAAAAACGATAAACAGAAAGTAAGATTTATGTTTTACTTCTATGTTTTGCTATGAATTATTATGATTCACTGATATGCTTTTGGTTTGATAACTAAACTGTATCTTTCATAGATATAGGCAAGCGTTAGGCTTCATTCGGGATAAGTCAGGTTTATATATTGTTACTAATTAAAGTGTTTTGTAACAGCTCAATTCCTACATCAATGGTTAAATGATTTTCAGGCTCTCAAGTAGCATTGGAAAGTCAATGATCAAAGCAAACTTATTTGTTAGCTGATTAGAAGTAGACAACATAAGAACTGTCTGACCAAGGTTTTGTCCTTCGTGGCACTACTAGCAAAAGGTATCCACAATTTCGAGCAATCGCATAGCCCCTGAGAGATTTAAGCTTACATCCTCCAAAGCCGCAGTCAAAAATGTTACCCCTAAGTTACTCAGCCCACGACTGACCCACCTACAAGATTCTGGATGAAGTATCCTGTTGACATCAAAAACAAGATATTCAGCGAAGAGGACTCTTTTCAACGAATTTATTCTCAAGCTGTACATTCATATATATATATATATATATATATATATATATATATAATATTTAAAGACTGTAATCCGTGGGGTTGAAACAATAATAATGGTGGTGATAATGATAATGTTGCTAGTTGATGACGTAAAGGTCGAATGGTAACAAAAGGGGTGACGTAAGATTTTCGAATCGTTTATGAAGTGCATATAGATTAGAAAGGGGTGAGAACGTTAATAAGCAATCAAAGGTGTTTAAGAATATAAATGAGACAAGTTAATTGGAGTAAATTGAAAATGTTTTGTTAAAAGTCGCGATTATTAGGAAGAACAAATGAAATAACACCGAAAACAAATAAATACAAAAAGAGAGAGTGATAATGACGATATAAGAGTACAAAGACCAATGTGACATAAAAGGGGAAGGGGGTGAAAAACGAAAAAACGACGAAGCGTACCAAGACTAAAATAAATTAAGGCCAATGTAGAGACAAAGACTGTACGTTCTTCTTCCGCACACAAAGGTCAGGCTTCAGTTCATGGATAGCAAAAGCCTCTGCTGTTTTAAGAAGCTGAACATGGAGGGAACGTGAGGTGTTTGGGCTGAATGGTTGGGATCGATTAAATGCTCAAGGTTAGAACTTCTGATGCATTTCATTTGACCCTTATAAAACCAGGCCGGAATATACTCTCGTATACGTGTTGACAGAAATCTCTGACTACGGCCAATGTACCTTGCTCCATTGGAGCAGATGAACTGATAGGTACACATGGATGTGGCCTGTCAAGGATTGTTGTCTTTTACACAAACGGAAGTTAATTTACGACTGGTAAAGATCAACTGAGGTTTTGCTGCGAAAAAGGTCCTACTAATTGATCTGGAAAGACGATTTTTCAGGATATCTGATGCTGCATCACCTTTGAAGTCCAGCTTCATGAATAAACTTTTTCTGAAACTGAGCTAGCGACTGGTTTCGCATGTGTTTCTCGCTTATTCTTATGAATATCCTGTTGAACTAAAAAAATTTGCTCCCAATACAAATTTAAAATAAGCAACAAACGTAATCAAAACAGGATTTATTCAATTAATAAATTTCAGTAGGACTAGTCAACTGGATACACTACATACATGATTTTATATACTGTTGTGCAATAAAGCAATACATACACTCGGAATACAGACTAAAACATTGAATGAAGCATGGCATGGCAACCCGGGGTGAATGATTTACTTGTTCCAAAAAGAATTAAGAACCTCGCCTGGTTAACTAGTTCACTAGTTACTAGCCGGTTCCAAGCCCGGGTAAAGAGGGAAGGTTGGGCATAGGGCTAGCAACCCTACCCCGTAAAACAAATCTAACCGCTAAAGAAACTCCAAAGCGCAAACGATATATACAAAATAATAACAAAATTATTCCTCGCTGGAATCGGAGAGGCGGAATGACGCCAGTTGGTGAAAGCCTGACTTCGGGAAGCCAATTGGCCGATGTGTCTTCTCTCGATGAAAGCGAAAGTAAACGTGGCGACATGGAATGTCCGCACCATGTTTGAACCCAGTAAGGCAGCTCAGATTGCAAAGGAGATGAGAAGGTATCACACTGAAGAGCGTGGAGTTTGCGAAAGCAGATTGAATGGGAGTAGACTCGCCACACTATCAACTGGAGAATCAATAATCTACTCCGATATTGTCACCCAGATGACAACCACGAGCACACAGTTCTCGAATGGCTATCATGATGTCCCCAACAGCATCGAAGGCCCTCATACAGCGGGAACTAATCTCCTCCAGGATCATGACAGCAAGGTTCAACTCAAAAGGAAGGAAGGTCACAATCATACAATGATACACTATGCACCTACAAATAATGCAGGTGAGGAGAAGAAGGAGGAATTCTACAGACAACTGCAATCAACACTGGACAAGGCCACGCCTTAGTTAGTGATATCAAAATTCTAATGGGCGGGGTGACATGAATGCCAAACTGGGAGCAGACCACACAGGAAGAGAGCAAACCATGGGTCGAGAAGTGCTCGGTGAGGTGATGAACGAGAATGGAGAATTGTTTGCAGAATTCTGTGCATTCAATGATTTGGTGATTGCAGTGAGGCAGTGTGTTCAAGCACAAGGATATCCACAAGGTAGCGACATGGATTTCACCAGACACCAGGACACACTAAAAATTAGATCGACTTCATCTCAATCTCAAGAAAATGGAGATGTAGTCTACTTGACACAAGGTCAAGAGGAGGAGCAGATGTAGGTTCGGACCACTCACTGTCTAGTGCAAGGAACCTTCCAAATCAAGTTGAAAGCCTTCAATGAAGCTGGTGATAGACAGCAGTTCAAGTACAACACTCGGAAACTGAAGGATGAAACTACAAAGGAGATCTTTACGTCAGCCAGCCATCAAGACAAAATAGGAGATATCGAGGAACATCCCTGAAGAAACCTGTGTGGAAGAACACTGGAAGTCTTTGAAAGAGATGTGGAAAGAAACCTGCACAAGCGTATTAGGAAGGAAGAAGAAAGAAGACAAGGAATGGATCTCGACGGATACATGGAAGCTGATGGAGGATGGAGAGGAGGATGGTGAAGCAGAAGATAAACCAGTGCAAGGATGCTCAACGACAAGAGGAACTGAGCACAATGTATAAAACACTGGACAAAGAAGTGAAGAAGAGTGCACGGAAAGACAAAAGACACTTCTACGAAACACTGGCAAGTGAAGCAGAACAGGCTGCTGGTAGGAGAGACAGAGACCTGACGACATTGTATCAAATAACCAGGTCGCTATCTGGTGGGAAGAAATCATCGCAGACGAAGCCAATAAAAGATGATAACGGAAATTTAATTACGAAAGAAGAGAAACAAAGGAAACAATGGGCCGACCACTTCAAGAAGCTCTTGAATCGACCACCATCACCACCTGCATTTCGTCCAGAAATACCACCAACAGCCGCTGAACTACAGGTAAACACAAATCCTCCAACAAAAATGGAAGTCCTAAATGCCATAAAGCTGCTGAAATATGGGAAAGCGGCAGGACCAGATGGGATCCCGCCAGAAGCACTGAGAACAGACAGAGATTACAGCGGACATGCTCACACCACTATTGCAGAAGGTATGGAAGGAAGAGAAGGTACCTGTCTATTGATTGGAAGAAGGGTTACCTTGTCAAACTGCCGAAGAAGGGAGACCTCAGTGTTTGCAAGAACTGGCTTGGAATCACTCTCCTGCCCACCCCAAGCAAGCAAAATATTAAGCCGCATCATCCTGGAGAGGCTAAAGGATGCGCTGGATTCAAAACTACGACTGGAACAGGCAGGCAGGCTTCAGGAAGTACAAATCATGTGCGGACCAAATTGCAACGCTGCACTACGCATCATCATGGAACAGAGTATAGAATGGCAGTCAGCTCAACTCTACCTCAGCTTCATCGACTTTGAGAAGGCCTTTGACAGCGTCAACCGAGAAGTAATTTGGCAGTTGCTTCAATACTACGGAATACCGCAAACCTTTATCCGCCTCATTCAACAACTATATGAAGACTCCACATGACAACTAATTCACAATGGGAAGCTCAGTGATGCTTTTGATATGAAGACAGGAGTGAAACAAGGTTGTCTACTATCCCCCATGATATTCCTGATTGTGGTGGACTGGATCATGCAGCAGACAACAGTGGGGAGCGAGAAGAGGGGGATACGCTGGCTGGACTGCGGAAAAGAACCTAGAAGATCTGGATTTCCCCGATGACTTGTGCCTGATGTCACACAAACTCGAAGATCTACAGGTGAAAACTAACAAGTTGTCAGAAGAGGTGAGTCAGGGCAGCGAAGACGGGACTTCAGGTGAATATAGAGAAGACAGAGGTGATGAAGATACCACACCACCACCAACAACAACAACAAACTCCAATCACCATGAACGGGAGAAACTTAAAGGAAGTAACCTCCTTCACTTATCTAGGAAGCACTGTTTCGACTACAGGCACCACAGGCACAGACGAGGATGTCAAAGTCAGAATCGGAAAAGCAAGACAGGCCAGCGTTCATTAGCCTGAAACCAGTGTGGAGATCTTCTGCACTGCACTCAACATGTGGAACAAGATGCGGATTTTCAACACCAACGTCAAGTCAGTACTCCTGTATGGTTCAGAGACTTGGCGCGTTGCGAAATGGATTTCCAATAAACTACAGACATTCATCAACAACTGCTTACGCTGTCTGGCTACTGAAGATCAGATGGCCAGAATAGCTAGAATAAGCAACAAGGAGCTCTGGTAACGAACCAACCAAGAACGTATCACCCAACAAATATGCAGTGGAAGGAAGTGGAGATGGATTGGGCATACACTGAGAATGCCGACTGGGGACATCACGCGTCAGGCCAGTTGCTCGAGTGGAATCCCCATGAGAAGCGACGAGTTGGACGTCCCAGGCGAGGGTGACATGGAGGAGATCGTGCGAGGAGGAAATGAGAGCTTGTGGGCTGTCGTGGAGCCAGGTTGAAAAGATTACAGAGGACAGAGTTCACTAGATACTTGCTAATGAAGCCGTATGTTCCATTAGGAACCTAAGGGACTCATGTTAATAATAATAATGATAACGATAATAATAATAATAATAATAATAAAATAATTAGGATTACCGTTAGGAGGGTCTAACGGATTGATAATGAAGAATAAAAGGACTAGAGATGGATAACATCATTCCGAACAGAACAATTAGTAGTCAACCAGATTAAGGTGCACACTAAGAGGACATAGGTGTTAGATAAACAAAAATATTGATTATAGTAATAATAGTACAAGTAAGTGATAATAATGATTATGATAACAATGAGAATATGAATATTGAAAAGATTAAAAATTACTTCATTTTGAAACAAGGTAAATGAGCATCATTTAAGAAGTTTGGTAAGGGTGTAAAACCAGGGGAGGCTAGAGAAATAGTTGGATGATAACACTTATAATAACGATGGAGATAAGTCATTTGACTAGTAAGGGGAGAAGTTCAAGAGGACATGATTGTACAGCAGAATGATAGTGAAGAGGTAAGTATGCGAAGTATAGGAAGAAATAAAGTGGAGAAATAAGACATTTACAAATAAAAATAAATAACTTCAAAATAATTCAACACCTCTACCATAGTAGATTCAGGGTGACTGCCATCTCTTTCTGTGCACATAAGCTCGGTTTACAAACTCTAATCGCGTATGCTTCCACGATTGCAAGCAGTTTGTTATTCCGCTATCTGCTGACAACCGAGAAGGCTTTAGTGGTGTCAACATCATGTCGATAATTCATTAGGTGTTTCCTAATCAAACTCTGCCAGATTTTTGACTTAGTTTGGCTCAACTGTTTAGGTAAATGCTCAGTCATGCAAGTAGACAGACGCCTTTCCGTACGACCTATGTATTTGCTTCCACAAGTACATTCGAATTAGTATATACAGTTAGATGTATCAAGGATTGGAGTCATGTCTTTTCCTGATTGCTGCAACACCCGCCTGGTGGTGCTCAGACGTACTAACTTAGATGCATAAGTCCCTTTGATGGTCTTGTCTAGTCTCCGCTTAACTACTTCTAAGACATAATCTCCTTCCTCTTGATCAACTTATCTAATCCTATTACACAATACTTAATTGATTTACCACTTTCATCAGTTTTTTCACACCCTTCTGAGTTACATATCTTCTATGAACCATTCCGTATATTACGTAATCTACTTTGTTATTCAGACTTTAATTGTTACCATATTCACAAATGCCTATATCATCATCCATCTTATTATTATTGTCACCATCATCATATAGTGTTTAGAAGTAGTATTCAACATGGACTGACATCAATTGGGGAACCATTGAAAATCTGCGAGCACAGGACAGCTGTTTTGTCCTAGTCCATGATGAATACTATTTCTAAGCTAAAAATCCCCATTCATCTCAAAAATACATTACTGTATGGTGCTCATTAGTGACTTGCTTCCAGAGGGATATCAGGAAGCTCTAATGAGAAGCCGTGACCTGTGGGGTCAACCAGTCGGATGTGAAGTGGATGCTAACTGAAGACCTTGGATGACAGTCGCGCTGTGTCGTGAATTGACAGAAGTTGGAAATTGTGAACCAGTGGAAACCGACCCAATGCCTGAACGGTTAACTCTTTCGCCGTGAAACCTGAAGGTCCCGAGTTCGATCTCTAGCCGGGTCATGGGCGCGTGCCGCTGGAGTCTTATGCTAGGACGACACAGCTATCCAGTGCTCCCAGATTTTCAGTGGTTCCCCAACTGATATCAGTCCATGATGAATACTGTTGTGGATGTTCTGGTGGTTTAAACAGCCTCTAAGCTTAAGCTTTTAGTCACAAATCTTTAGAAAACAGTCTAAGGGGCTACTTTATTAGCAGATGTGCAAGTGAAGTAATTTGTTGTATGCTTCACTAAATAGGAACAATTCTGATTTAATTAGTTAAGAAGAATGAATGAAGTAGTGATTTCTTCCTGATTCCTCTACTGGTAAGCATTATCCGAATGTTTCAGTTCAGTGTTATTGCTTGTATTATCCCTTCGTTGATTGGACCAAAGTGATCAGTCTTTGTCGGGATGTGGGCTTCTGTATGGATTCCTGGACATACTTTGTGTTTCAATTATATATTAGTGATGGATATAATTGGATCATAAAGTATATCGAAGAATCCACACAGAAACCCATATCTCAACAGAGACTGATCACTTTGGTCCAATCAACGACGGGGTAATTCAAGCAAATGCATTAAAACTGTGCCCATCGTACAAAAAGTGGCTATCGTGACTTAATACTCTTGCCTATGAAGAGGTCAGCTTACAGTTCGACTCTTGGTGCAGATAACGACATTCATTGGGATGCAGGTACATCCAGTTCACTAGTAAGTCTCAAACAGGACGAAATGCGTGTCCTGGATTCCACTACTAGCCCCCCTCCGACAGTAATATGTTTCAATTCAATCATGTTCACAAACTTTTGACAATAATGCTGTGAATTAAACTAAATTTACTAAACTTTATTTTCTGTTGGATAAACCATATATCTACACTCAGCTTTAAATGAAAGTACAACCGAATAAACAAGGAGATAACTGGGTTAATTGGTCTTATTCATCACATAGAAAACTGTATTTGTAAAATAGGCTGTATTATGTATACAAGTGAACCTATCACGATGAAATGTTATTTAGTACAATGGAGTTTACCAAATTTTGAATCTATGTTCCCCAGCTGTATTCTTTTTACCTTCTACTTTACTACCAACGATATGCTTCTCTATACTGAGTGATAATTGAAGGTGAAATGACCATTTGGGTTGTAGCAGGATTCAAATCGGTGACCACTAGGTTTCTGTCCCTCTCTCTGCTCTACCTATTTTATTTTCAAACTGCTTTTTCATATAATATTTTATATCAGTATATATCTGCATAGATAATTTATTTAGAAGGTAAAATATACTTTTTCTAATACAGGAGTTGAGTCTACAAGTTGACGAGTCACAGATGAAATTCCAGCGTCAATGTGTTGCTACAAAAAAGATGTTAGAAGAAAGCATTGAAAAATTTGTGAGTACTTATTCAAAGTGATTTTATGTTTTATATTCGACACAATATACATGAAAGAGTTCGACTATAGTTGAGGTTCCTGTCGATAATAAATGCGTAATTCTTAATACTTTTTTATTAGAGTACTATGCCAATTAATACTTAAATGGATATGTTAAAATCAGATGTGATAGGAATAATCACTCCGGTAAAAGAGGTTACTTTGGTGTTGTATGGTTGACCGTCGAAAGGTATAGTCTGAGATCATCATGGAAGTTTGAGATTACAAGTGATGAATTTCAGCATCAACTTATGAAAAAGTTTCTGCAATTACGTCCATTTAGATTGTTTTGACAGCACATAATAACCACCACCTATAACTTAGCAAATGTGGCATCCTCAGAACTGACTTCATACAGAATATTACGCGAATGTTTAGATAGTATAACATTCAAAGAGACTTCGTTTCTCTATGACTTCTTACGACAAAATATCTAATCTCAGAAAATACCAAGCATAACTTACTACTACTCATTAACTTGAGTAGTTAAAAATCACTCAGATTGATCGTTACATTTCGTCAACAATATCAAAGTAATCTAAAGATCGGACAGGTGTTTGTGCTTGTTTGGGGGTCAACATCATCAATGGTGTATCTGAATAAATTCAGCTGAATCAGGCTAGCTGATTTACACGCACCCATATACCTAAAGTAGGATGGTCAGTCTGCAAATGATTTACAAACTACACAGTCCACAATGACATTTCTCACAGCTGAGTAGTCTTTTTCACTACTCAACTGTAGTGTCAACGAGATTTCAGCTGTAAACCACTCAGTGGAGATCACAAGGTGTCATCTCCGATGCAAAGTGTCATGAATCGGCAAAACATCATATCACACATTATGATATCGACTGAGTGGTTCATAGTGGAACATGAGGATTCAGTAGCATGTGACCATTTCACTATCTTCTCTGTAGTCTTTTGAACTTGGCTCCACGAATGCCCACAAACTTTCACTTCATTTCTTCACACGACCTCCTCCATATCACCCTCCGACGCCAAACTCGCCGTTTCTTATTTGGCTTCCATTCGACGGCCTGACCTGACACGTGATGTCCCCAAACCACCTTCTCGGTCCATGTACAATTCAATCCAACCTATCACCACTTTCCTCTGCATATTTGTTGGGCGACAGGTTGTTGGTTGCTTCGTTTCAGCTACAGTTCCTTGATCCTTACTCTCATTATTCTGGCCATCTGACCTCCATCTCCACCATCCAGTGAGTGTAGGCCGCAGTTGTTGATGTGATGTATGTCTGTAGTTTGTTGGAAATGCTTTCCGTAACGCACCAAGTCCCTCAACTATCACATAGAAGCACTGAATTACTTGACTGAATTAGTGTTGAAAATGCTGATCTTGTTAACGCTTTATGCTGAGTGGAGTGCAGTAGATCTCCACACTGATTTCAGGTTAGTCAAGGTCTGTCTTACTGTCTTCGTGATCCTGGCTTTGAGGTCTTCGTGTGTGCGTGTACCACGTGTAGTTGAAAAGATGCTTCCTTGGTAGGTATGAGAAAGAGACAACTTCCTTTACGTTTCTCCCTTTGATGGTGATATAAGCTTGTTGTTGTTGTTGGTGGTGGTGTTGTAGTTGTCAGTTGGATAACTTCATCAACTTTGTCTTGTCTACGTTTACCTGAAGGGAGTGTCATCTTCGCTGCCTCGCCTCTTCTACCAACTTGTTAGTTTTCGCCTGTAGATTTTCGAGATTGTGTGACAATAAAGACAACTTATCGGGGAAATCAAAATCTTCTTCTGGTGTCTTTTTACTGTTGCAGCTAGCGTATACTCATCTTCTTGCTCCTTATAGTTTGTTGGACAATCCAGTCTGACACAATAAGTAAGATCATCATTGATAACAGGGTGTTTCTGCGACATACTAAGCTCCACAATCGACAAAGCTTAATCTATAGACGGAATTCTGTGGGCAAGTAAGAGGACTTCTGTCTTTTAAGTGAACTAATGGATCTCTAAGAGTGTTGATTTTGCTGTAAAAGACTCTAATTCCGCGTCATCTTGTAATCTGTTGTAAATTTTGATGGAATGGTAGAATTACTGGTCTTATTAGAGATTCGTCACTTGATTTTCCAGTAAGATTCTTCTTCTCACAGTTTCTGATTTTCTAAATGATGTTCTCAGGTTAGTTCTTGGAATGTGACATCTACTAGGTTTTTTGCTTCCTATCGTTTATGGTTTTTATTCACGCCAAGCTTTATGACCCTCCTGAATACGTTCATAGGAAGTGAAAAGTTTGCGCTTGGTGAATGTGTTGAGTTGAAATAAAGATATTGATTTCAATATGTTGGTTTACGATAGAATGATAAACATAAATTTTCATTTCTTTTAACTAAATAATCTAAAAATGACAGGTCCGAGGTGGCCAGACTAAAACATGGCATCAATGTATGAAGTCTCTGACTGTTGGTTTGAGCCATGTAGGGCGATGCAGACTAGGTGGTTGGAGTTGGCGGGACAAGAGGAACCAGTGGTTGGAGACTCTAGGGGATATGGCTAAGAACCGATGTGAATGGTGCAGATGTATCCCCACACACATTATCATCATCTTAACGACGCTATACCGAATCTCATCATTTTGTCATTCCTCTTTTCTCTCTTCTCATACTTTATATTTCTTTTGATTGAATTCTCTTATCTTCATCCTTCACCTCACTACCTTTTTACTTGATGTACTGATATGAGGTGTGACAACTTAGACCGTTGCGCAGTAATGCCTGGTCCTATGTTGATCTTGATTGATTGATTGAAAAATGACAGTCCACTTTTCATTTTTGTATTCTAATTTGAGTCTAATGTGCAACAAATGAACATTAATCGACTTTGAAAAGGTTTTCAAGGATAATATTTTTAGAATTACAAATGTATCGACTATATATCTGAGGCAAATATGTGGTTCGGTGGAGTTGGTAAAGATCATAGATTAAGTATGAACCAAGAAGAGACATTAAACGTTAAGTGAAGCATAATATTCCATTGTTACACCATTTATTTATTGATATAACTTTCCTTTAAATGTGAGAAGTATCAAATTCAAAGGTTGAAACTTAAGAGAGATCTGTTTGATAACATGTGATCATTCTCCAGTAATTTACTAACAAAATCTAAACATCTTCCAATAAACAGTAGAACGATAACATTACTTTGGCACAGCTCTAGTCAGGATGCGATATATTTTGTTAGGGAATATATTAAAGAATTTGTAAAGTCCATTGTCTGTCTTTAAGGCACATTAGATTTATGAGTTTCTGATGATCTACAAAAACGTGATATTGTGCATAATTTATAATAAAAAGAAGACTATAATGAGTTTTTGATGAACGATCTCATTTCTGTCAAGTCAAATTTTGATTATGAAGTCTATAAAGAATATTTCTATATCGGTCAGTTTCACTCATCTATGTTTAACATCTACACAAGTGTTAGTATTATGCTACAAGGAAACGATTGGGAGCGAAGACGGGACTTCTCTCAGGTGAACGTAGAGAAGATAGAGGTGATGATGATAACCAACCAACGCCACCAATAACAACAACAAGCTCCAATCACCATCAATAGGAGAAACTTAAAGGAAGGAGCCTCTTTCACTTACATGCCTTGGCAGCATCGTTTCAACTACAGGTGGTACAGGCACCGTTTAAGACATCAAAGCCAGGATCGGAAAGACAGTAAGACAGGCGTTCATTAACCTGAAACCAGTGTAGAGATCTTCTGCTCTCAACATAAAGAACAAGATTCGGATTTTCAACATTAATGTCAGTCAAGTAATTCAGTGCTTCTATGTGATGGTTGAGGGACTTGGCGCGTCACGAAAAGCATTTCGAACAAACTACAGATATTCACCAACAGCTGCCACTTACGCTAGATACTGAAGTTCAGATGGCCGGAATAGTAAGAATAAGTAACGAACCAACCAAGAACCTATCGCTTAACAAATATGCAGCAGGAAGTGGAGATGAATTGGGCATACACAGAGAAGGCCGACTGGGGATATCACGCGCCAGACCCTCGAGTGGAATGCAAAGGGGAAACGACTAGTTGGGTATGTGATGGTGACATAAAGGAGATCGTATGAGGAAGAAATGAGAGCTTGTGGGCTGTCGTAGAGCCAAGTTCAAAGGATTGCAGAGAAGAGAGTGCAATGGAGGAGCACTACTAATGACCTGTGTTCCATTAGGAACTCAAGGGAGAAGTTATATAATATATACACATAGAAATAGATAAAGTTTCCTGAAAGATAACTCTGCAGCACTCAGTCTCGATAGTTACATCGTTAACTTACGTAGAACTAGCTCATGTTATGTTTGTAGACCTCCTAGAAGAAGCACCATTTTATATGATTCAGGATAATGTAGGAAAGTTGCAGAAAAGTTGCAGTGTCTAGGTTAAAGGAATAATCTTGATACAAAACAAGTTTCTATTTCACCAAAAACAGGAACATTTCTTTGCTGGTATCAAATTTTGTCCTTTCTTATGCAATTTTATTCAACCAAAATATTCAGTGAATGCAGGAAAGTACGGATAATTAAGGAAAGATTTTCCTTATCGACGATATCATTTTCTAAAGTTATACACTTATATTTATTTGCATAAGAAATCTATATCAGTCTATCATTAAACGAATAGGCTATAATTACAGCATTAAGCTAGTGCTTAAAAAACTGAAATTAAGAGTGGAAAATATTTGCATAAAAATCTTTTAGACATTGCAAACAACTAGAAAGACAAGGAGTTTGACAAGCATAAAATTGTTAGCAGGTATGAAATTCGACTTATTGAATGTCCACTTGATACATATAAAGATGGTGAACAAAGAAAGAAAGGTCATAATGAAATCGAAAAATTGATAAAATATTAATACTTTGAAAAGATAAGAGATTGGAAAATGCTTCTTCTAGATACAGAGAATCAGGCTAGAGAACTAGTGAATTGTTAATGCTTATGCAGTGTATGACTGTTGGAAGCATATACATTTAATTATGTAAATGATATTCAAGGAGAACTCTGATAGAGTTATATATGTTCAGTGTTGACTAGATGTTCAAGAATTCAGTTGTTAATTGACTTACATTTTCTTATCGAAAAGCATACAGGATATTGGTTAGAGATTTGTTTGAAAAGTGCACACTTTGCTCAGAAGTAAGTAAATTTGTAGACTCATACTGAGATAGCATAAAGGGGTAACTTGTCCTTGATTCACCACGAAACATTTTGCTGACTAAGAAAGCTGACCATTACATTGATTAGTCACAGGAAAGCAACCACTTTGATGTTGTCTACTCCTGAGTGCAGATTGAATCCTACCGATCATATTTGCAATGTGGCCACGAAACTAGAAGGTTGAGCATCTTGGTGGACATTTGAAAGTGTTAGTTGGTTGAAGACAATTGGTAGGAAACCCTAGATCTAGGTTTCGTGCTTGTTGGCACTCGTCAGCAAGACGTGTCTGCAACCTCAACGGAACTGATGTCCAGCCCAGTATTATGATCAGGGATTTTGCCACTGAGTTAGGCGGGCCGCTATCCCACTATCTTTACAGAGAACAAATGCTGACTATTATTATTTGTCCCATGGGTCCCTAGTAGAAGACTGGGCTTCCGTAGCACGTCGCCACTTCACTCTCTTCTCTGCAGTCTTTTAAACCCGGCTCCACAACTACCCATAACCTTTCATTTCTTCCTCACACGACCTCCTCTATGTCACCCTTGAACGACTATAAATAGCCATGTTAACCGAAGATACAACTTCTGAGATGAAGTGTTAAGCTAGTGTATATGTCAATAAATGAAATATTTCTTTCTTGTACAGGCTAAAATGTTATCATATTAAAAATTTCTAAAGTAGTAACAGTTTGAAGGTAGCAAACAGGCGATCTGAACAACAACAAAATCACATTTCAATGTAATTATTGCTTTCATACACGCTTATGACACCATATGGTTTATGCGAACACTTGAGTATCAGTAGGAACATTAGTTTCATGCCTTGTTATGTATGTTACGTCATTTTTATCTTCGTCATGTATCTGTTAAATTATTTCTAATATATATATTTGAGGACAATACTACTGGAATTTCCAACAATTTTCCCGGCTATCTTGAATAATTTAACTGAGAATTTTATTCACATGTCTCTCATTATAACTGTACATCCAGCTGAAGAGTCCCAAGTAGGACGAAATGCTCATCCTGGATTCCACTGCTAGCCACGATCCATCATTAATGTAGCCAGAAAGCTTGAAATCCTCTTGCAAACAAAACAAACAGACGGATCAGTGTAGAGAAGGGGAAAAAGGTATGAGTTCTAGCCGCTAAGCTTAACAGCAACATGAAATTTAAAGATGGGTTAAAAACGAATGATAAGAAAGCTAATAAGTGGATATGAGAAGAAACGGAACACATAAATAATGGTTAATAAAAGTGTTTAAGACTATAAAGTTGACAAATAGTGTGTCACATGTGCATGAGTATAACTGATTTGAAGCTCCACATCATAATGAATCTCTAGTCATTGGTTTAGCCAGACAGAAAACATCTGCCTGCACGACTAAGACCAAACATGAGAAACTTCAAAAACTGGCACCACATGCATTTCATCATTTGTTTAGCTTCAATTCATGTGATACATTCTGCTATTTACTATATATACATAGAACCTATGTCGTTTGTTATCAGATTTTCAACTTTATTCGAATAATTTATTTCCTAGCTGAAGATGCTAGTCTGTGATATTAAGATAGTCTTCAAGTCTGGGATCAATTACCAATGAGTTAAAGCTGACTAAAGGTGCACTTCACAATAACTAGAGGCAGTCAGAAATTAACTAAATATTGACTAAGAACTTATTCAGAGAGCTAAGATATCGGTTGATGACATCATATTTGGCGTATGATCATGCCTGACCTCCACAGTCTTAAAGTTTCGCGACAAAACATATAGACAAACGGGAGCATTAGCAATAGCATCACGAACATCATCAAACCTACCGGATAAATTTATGGACAGTTGGGAAAACATGGCTTTACAAACGTTTAGTCCTGGTTGTGATATAGGGATGACAAATGTACTGTGTTGAAATCGGAACATATCGACAGTTTCCTTACACATATAAACTCAGTAGTAAACGCAGTTCAATTCACTTATGAGGTAAAAAGTGAACGAGGAGAAACACCTATGTTGGATTGCAGGATAAAACGAAGGACAGATGATGGTTTGGACACAACCGTCTACAGAGAACCGACACAGACTTCAAGCTATCTGGTCCAATGTCAGTTAAGGCAAATCTAGTTAAGTGTCAGAATGATAGAGCTAGGAAACTGACTAATCAGTGTAAATACCTAAATAAGGAAGTGAAACACATAAAGAAGCACTAATAGTTAATAATTATCCTCTGAAGTTTACTAAATAAATTCATACGAATACATAAGAAACGAAAAGATAACAGTTACACGAGTACGACTAATAACAAGTTTAAATAGGTTCATAGCCTCCATTATATTACTCTAAAAAGGAAGGTACATCAGAAACTTTACGTAGGATCCTCAACAAAGCTTGAATTAGGGTGGCATTTAAATCTACAAACTCACTCAGAGATAAACTTTGTCAGGTGGCTTAAAGATCCGACAGAACCAATTAAGCAAAACAATCTAGTCTATGAAATTTCATGTTATGACTGTGAGATCAAATTCTTAGGTGAAACTAGCCAGGTTGGTCGGGGTGAGTTAGGATAGGGGAACATAAGAATTTAGCTAAATATAGAATGATATATCCCAATAATAGCATCAATAATTTAGAAAAGAAACTCGGCTATTAAAATGCACTCATTGACACACAACTGCACAATAGGCTGTGTGGGATAAAGCCACTATACTCAAGTCCAATATAATAAGGTAAAGAGAGGAGAAGAGGGAGGGAGATGAATTACTGAATCTTCATTCATTGAATCAGCAACACCTAACACATGTAATAGAAATGATGCAGTACCTATGCCAGAGAATTTTACTACCTATAGAAACAAACAATATAAGATGACAGGACTATAAGAAGAATCAAATGTCGAAAATAGTGTGATTATACACTGATGTGATTATGAGCAGTAATAATTTATGCTTGAATCGTCATCATCATGTAAATAATACTTTAGGTTATAAATCAAATAAAAAAATCTAATATGGAGTTAGCTAGAAAGAGAATTCGCGACTACAAATGGCTGAAGAGTTCAAGGATAATCTTACCTGACTGTAATACGACTTTTAATAATAGTTTCTAAGCGGAAGTTAACTATAACCTTGGGAAGTTTGCAAGCATACTTGTGTTTCATAGCTTTATTTTCATTTTAAACTATTGTTATTCAGAGGTAGTATTCATCATGGACTGATATCATTTAATTAAATTTTGAGGGAGTTGTGGAGATTTGGAATTATTTCAAGTTGTTATTCATCGTAGAATGACATTAGTTAGAGGAACAAAGGAAACCTGGGAGCACTGGACAGCTGTTTCGTCCTAGTATGTCATCATGATGACATTGGATGGCGGTTGCGCTATATATCGTGAGCTAACAGAAGTTGGAAATATGGAGCATTGGATTCTGACCCAGTGGCTCAATGGTAACGCGCTGGTCGCGGAACCTGAAGGTCGCGGGTTCGATCCCTGCTGGTGGGGTCGTGGGTGCACACTGCTGAGGAGTCCCATACTAGGACGAAACAGCTGTCCAGTGCTCCCAGGTTTCCTTTGTTCCTCCAACTGATGTCAGTCTACGATGAATAACAACTTGATATCATTTAGGGAACAACTGTTTGATCCTACGACAGAATAGTTGTCCAGTGCTCCCAGATTTTCAATGGTTTCCCAAATGATGTCATTTCATGATGAATACTACCTTGAAATTAAAAATCTCCATTCATCTGAAAAATACATTATTCCTAGTCAGTTTCTTTCTTATCCAACTGCCTTTTCTTTAAATCTGTCCTCAGTAGCATTAGAAAAACATACTTTTTGCAAAACTATGGTATTGAATTTGATGATAACCAGCATGTAGAACAAGATGCGGATTTTCAACACTAACGTCAAGTCAGTACTCCTGTATGGTTCAGAGACTTGACACGTTACGAAAGGCATCTCCAACACACTACAGACATTCATCAACAACTGACTACTCTGGCTCGTTACTGGAGATCAGATGACCAGAATAGTAAGAATAAGCAACAAAGAACTCTGGAAACGAACCAACCAAGAACCTATCGCTCAACAAATATGCACTGGAAGAAAGTGGAGATCGACTGGGCATACACTGAGAAGGCCGACTGGGGATAACACACGTCAGACCGTCGAGTGGAAACTCGATGGGAAGCGACGAGTTGGGCGTCCGAGGTGAGGGTGACGTAGAGGAGATCGTGTGAGGAAGAAATGAGAGCTTGTGGGCTGTCGTGGAGTTAGGTTGAAAAGATTGGAGAGAAGAGAGTGGAATTGAGACGCGCTACTGAAGCCGTATGTTCCATTAGGAACCCAAGGAACAAATAATAATAGTGTTTTCGGTTACACAGCATTCAAAATTATATTACTGTTTTAATCATTATATAGTTTGTATGTATACATTAAAGCTGGATATTTTTAATTTGTTCCCCTTTCTTTTTTTTAACTATTAATCAAAACATGCTACAAATGTGTGAATTTAACGAATGATAACTAGGATTCACAAAAAGATCAATTAAAAAAACTTTTGACTGCACAATTAAGTTATTTCGAAGCATGCTCAGATGCAGTGAGTACAGCATTACGTGATTTATAAGGCTGAAAACATGAAAAGATGATCAAAGAATGTAAGTTTTAACCTTTCTGTTAATTTTGATGTTCAATTTAACGGTTAGTAAAGATTGATTGATTTCAAGGTAGTATTTATCACTGACTGAAGTCAGTTGTAAAACTTTTGGAAACTTGAGATCTCTAGCTGTTTTTATCCTACTATTCAACACTGTGGACCAAAGATCAGATACAGGACAGTCAGGTCTCTTGATGAACTCAGTATCATTCAGGAAATGAATGGAAATATGAAGCGATGAATTCCAATCCAATGGTTGAATGTTAACGTGCTCGCATTGAGATCTTATAGTCGTAGATTTGATTCCTGACAAGGTCATGGGTGCACAGTGTTGGAGAGTCCCATACTAAGAGGAAACAGATACGAAGTGCTATTTGAGCAAATTTTTTAAAAGTTATGATTAGTATCTCTCAGAATAAGAGATCGCTACAATCTGGTACCTAAGTTACTGAGCAGAATCTTATAGTATGTTGCTATAATCTAAAATGTCTTCAGCAGAACGGTATGCGGTTACATACAACTACTTCTTAGCTAAGATTGCTCTGAAATATCAGTTTTCTTGAATTTTCTATACTATCACCCGTAAAGTAAGACAAGGAAGCTTCCATAAGACAGAAGTAGAACCTGGGGACTGTGGTAGATTGTAGTTCCATTATAGCTTGTTTATTAGTTGTGTCAAACAGTGAGACAGTATTATTTACTGAATAACGTTTTGAACATAATCTATTGTCTATATTCATATTAGGTGGCGTATTAGATACCCTGTAGATTTCTTAACCTTATTCACAATATTAATGATGGGTAGTGGCTAGCAGTGGAATCCAGGATGCACATTTCGTCCTATTTGGGACTCGTCAGCTGGACGTACCTGCTTCCCAGCGAGTGATGTTGTTCCCACTGGGATTCAGACTCGAGAGCGACCACTTCAAACTCCAGAGCTTTATCCACTACACCACCGAGTCACGATAGCCACTTCTTGTGCGACGGGTATAGTTTTTAGTATAACTGCTAGCCACGATCCATCATTAATACAATTAGAAGGCAGGCAATATCCAGGCATCTGCACAGGAGCTCATATGCCAATACAGACCTATCAATTCGGTCCAAGCAACGACGTTATCATATAAAAACAATCATACTTATTCATAATAGTATCCAATAGTTTCTTAACTTCTTCATATGATCCAGTTTCTATATGTTCATTCACTCTGAAAACGTAATCAGATTTTTTCATCACATTCATTGAGTTGCTCTTATTCAAAGATTCTTAAGAACTTCCTTTTGTGGTTTGAGTAAATTTGACTCAATCTTATTCTGTTGTTTCAGTGTCCATGCATATTACGCGTGTACCTCATCTGTGATTATCTTATCTACTGGACTTAAGGTTGTTTCCATGCTGCTGATGATATCTTCTAGTTGAAGTTGTGGCTTTTCTCTACCACATTTACTTCTGCTGAGCTTAGGACAACCCACACTAACTTACTTATCACTGGTGACGTGATATTAATAATCTGATGAATACTGGCTCCTTACTTTTCTTCTATAAGTTTGTTGAACTTCTTAATGTGAGCAATTTTGAATATCTTGAAAGTAGCTGATTTCATTACATTCCAGTTGACCATTAGAAGCTCATAGTCCTTTTCACTAATTATTTATATCAGCTTGTATTTTAATTCTTCGATATGTTGACGAGATCGCAAAGGATACCAAATAAAGTGGAATCTCAGCAAGCAGATAGGCGACTTGTTCGGGAAGTCTTAAGACAAAATAGCTATCCAGACAAACTATTAAAGAGAATCGAAAAAAGTTTACCGAATAAAAATATGAAAAAGCCAGGCCATAAAGATTGGATAAGTACTATAGTACTTCCTTATCGAACATCCACTTAGAGGAAATAAGACGTATCCTTAACCGTTACAACATCAGAGTATTCTTTAAGGTAACTAATACATTACACTCACACCCGTGTAAATTAAAAGATCCGGTTCCTCATTTGGAACAACAAAACTGTGTTTATAAGGTAGACTGCAGTGAATGCTATGCCACATATATTGGAGAGACATCACGTCAAGTACTAACACGTCCAGCCGAACACGGTAGAAGTTCCAAAAAACCACCAAAAAATTCCTGATCTAAAAAAACTTGAAAAAAGCTCTGTTATCGCAGCTCATGCCCTATATTCAGGTCATAAAATATCATTCGAACAGACAAAAGTTCTGCAAAAGGGTTTTCTCTCTCACAAAGAGCGGACCATTGCAGAAGCTTTGCACATATGCTCATATCCTTCTTCGGTCAACAGAAAAGATGGGTTAGACATCCCACTAATATGGCAAACATTAATGACTCGCCTAGGCAGTTATAAATAATATCTGAAGAGAAGGTAGATTGTTTAGTCCTATTACATACACCTTATTGATCTACTATTTTCATCAATTTTACACTACTCTCTGAATCATATACATTCGATGAACCATAACATAATCCATTTTGTTATCACTCATACTTCAAGTGTTATCAAAAGTACATTTATGGTTACCATTATTATTATTTATTTAAGATATGTTGTCTCATCTTCAAATATTCATCCTTCCAAACTAGTAATCTATTCTTTCTCACCCTTGATGTCTCACAACCCCATTGTACTTTTCATAGACGAACTAAAAATATTTCCCCATCCTATTTTTGTTCCACCTTACTCGCACAACGGAAAAATCTCTCGACCGAGTTGCTTATTCACTCACCTGTATTACATTGATCTTTGCTCCATATCACTATGTAATTGGATGATTGTAAAGGTCACCACTTTGTGTACCAAAACTTGAATATTAACCTGAAAACTTAGTGTCAGATTCATACTCTTGAAAAGGATCTTCCTAGCAAGATCGAAACGTTGAGGAATAATACAAAATATTTGTTTATTTTGTTATTTGTTCTAATATACCACGCCGGGATTACACAAGTAAAAATACATCCTATACAATGAATCATACTAACTCGGTGCCCAAGTTTTTTCAAACCATCCAGTCCATTGTTGGCCAGGATACCTTCAAACTTCGATATAATTCTTAAAATTTTGCAACCTCTTGGCTATACTGTGAATTCCTTCTTTTACTGACGGGTTCTATCATTCCGTTAACTTTGTCCATAGGAATTGATGCACGTAGATGCAGATATTTAGGAAGGATTTAATTTCTAGGTCATCGAGTATGTGTATCTGCTTTGGGTCTGTGAAAGTTGTGTGTTGATTAGTCTTTGAACAGAAATATTTCATGTTTCATTAATGTAATTCCATTTCATTCTGTTTCATTGTGTAAAACTTTCAATAAACAGATTTAAATAGAAGGGGTGGAGAGAAAGAAAAAATCAATGTAAAGCCTTGCAGAGAAGTGCATCGGTTCAAGTTACCACACTTCACAGTAGTAAACAAAGAATAGGTGGATAGAAAAAGATTCATATTAAAGGAGGCAAAGTTGTGTAAGAAAATAAACAATCTAAAGATAAGGGTCAGTGCAAGCATTCGAGATTTTGAAGATGTCAAGGAGTGACAGATCTTCAGCTATGTAACCAAGAGTTCTCAGCTGCTGATTCCTTTTGTCTCAAGGATCTAAATCATACAACTTGAACAAAAAGTAAAAAGTTTCATTGACTGGTACCAGGCCTTGCTACCCTAGACCCTCTTACAACCAAATCCTGTTTTATTATTATTATTTGTCTCATGGGTTCCTAGTCGAACACAAAGCTTCAGTAACACGTCGTCATTCCACTCTCTTCTCCGCAGTCTTTTCAACCTGTCTCCACCACTGCCCGCAAGCTTTCATTCTTTCCTCACATCACCTCCTTCATTTCACCATCGGACGCCTAACTCATCCTTTCCCATGCGGGTTCCACTCATTGGCCTGGAGTGATGTATTATGTCCCCAAATAGTCTCCTCAGCGTATACCCAATCCAATCCATCTCCACTTTCCTTTGCATATTTGTTGGACGATGGGTTGTTGGTCGGTTCATTGCCAGCCAGAGTTCCTTGTTGCTTATTCTTATTACTCTGATCATCTGATCTTCGCTGTCAGTATCGAGTGAGCGTAGGTGGCAGGTGTTGATGCTGTGTGACTGCAGTCTGTTGGAAATGCTTTTCGTGACCCGCCAAGTCTTTCGACCATCATATAGAAGCACTGACTTGACTGGATTAGTGTTGAAAATCGTGATCTTGTTCACGCTTTATGCTGAGTGCAGTGCACTGCAGTGGAGTAGATCTACAAACTGATTTCAGGTTAATGAAGGCCTGATCTGTGTTGCAATCTGTATTTGAAACGATGTTGCCTTGTCTAGGTAGGTGAAAGAGACGATTTTCTTTAGATTTCTCCCGTTAATGGTGATCGGTTCTTATTGTTGTAGGCTAGGTATCTTCATCACCTCTGTCTTCTCTACGTTCACCTGAAAGAAGTCCCGTCTTCCGTTTCTGCTTCGAGTCTTCTGTCAACTTGTTGGTTTTCACCTGTAGATCTTCGAGTTTGTGTGACAAGACATTAGACATAAATTACCATCGGCGAAATTGAAATCTTCTACTGGGGTTTTCCCATAGGTTCAGCGTATGCCCATCTTCTTGCTCCTCACAGTTTGCTGCATGATCCAGTCCAGTAGGCGGCAGCCTCCTCTTACTCAAAGGCGTCATTGAGTTTTCCACTGTGAATCACTTTGCATGTGCCATCGTCATTTAGCTGTTAAATGAAGTTGATAAAGGTTTGTGGCATTAAACCGTAGTGTTGAAGGGGCTGCCAGATTACTTCTTGGTTGACGCTATCGAATGCCTTTTCAAAGTCAATGAAGTTGAGTGGCATTCTATGCTCTGTTCTACGATGATGCGTATTATTGAAATTTGGTCCGCATATGATTTATTTTCCCTGAAGCCAGCCAACCAGCTAGCCTGTACCAGTCACAATTTTGAGTCTAGAGCATTTTTTTTAATCTCTCCAGGAATCAAATTGTGTAATCGCTTCATATCTTCTGCATTTAACAGCTGTATCTGCTCCTACTGTTTAAGATTTACACTTCTATATCCTTGATAATATTACCTGGCCAAACTTTATGTATATAAGGCATATACTAAGTGACAGGATGTAGTTTTATTGAGTATTTTTCAAAGGATAATTCTCTTAAGATCTTATGAAGCATCTATTCAGTTTGTTATTAGCTGATATATATTTCATTACTATTTTTGTTTTAATTAACTGTTTTAGACTACAAATGTGTCTGATCAATGATATGCAGCTTCAAAAATTGGATGATCAGCTCTCAGTTATTTGTCTTCATCCATATATATATATATGTGCCTTTTTTTCATCAAAATTTTTTTGGTTTAAAATTCCTTTTTATTATTTTTTTTTTGATGTGAAATTATTTCTTTGCAAATGTTTTCTAAATGTTTTGCTTTTAGAATATTTTTACAGTGGAATTTTATATACATAAAGGTTTCTAAATAATAATAATAATAATAATAATAATAATAAAGGAACGATAAATTTCTTATCTTACATTGTCCTTTCACACTGTGATATTCTTTTCTCTGTTTACAGGATAGTGGTAATAACGAATTTACATAATTTCCACTTGAAGGTTGGTTATTCCCATGGATTATGTAATTGTTGGGCAAACAAATATAGTGGTTATGTTATTACTGTACAGTAGTTTTAATATTTCTTTGAACAGATATGTGTAATAGTTTGAAGATTGTTCGTTTTATAAGCTGATGCTGAATTATTGTTATCATTTATTATTTTTCCCTTGGGTTCCTAGTGAAACATAAGGCTTCAGTAGTACATCTTCATTGGACTCTCTTATATGCAGTCTTTCCAACCTGGCTCCACAACAGCCAACAACCTCTCATTTCTTCGTCACATGATCTCCTCCATGTCACCCTCGCCTCGGACGCCCAATTCGTCGTTTCCCCTGTGGATTCCACTCGAGGGCCTGGCATGGCGCATGATGTCCTCAATCAACCTTCTCAATCTATACCCAATCCATCTCCACTTCCTTCTGCATAATTGTTGTGTGATAGGTATTTAGTTAGTTCGTTGCCAGCCAAAGTTCTTTCCTGCCTATTCTTCTTGGCCATCTGATCTTCAGTATCGATCCAGAGTAGGCGGTGGCCGTTGATGAATATCTGTAGTTTGTTGGAAATGTTTTTCGTGACATGCCAAGTGTTTGGGAACCATCACATAGAAGCATTGACTTGACTGACATTGATGTTGAAAATCTGGATCATGTTCACGCTTCATGCTGAGTGCAGTGGAGTAGATCTTCATACTGACTTCAGATTAGTGAAAACCTGTTTCACTTTACCTATCCTGATTTTGACATCCTCATCTGTAACTATTTTTTTTTAATGAAGTTTAAAAGGTTAATTTATTTGAAATACTATCTCATTTTTAACCAGTTGGCTAAAATGATAGGGAAATAACTTTCTTAATTTTGATGGTGTTGGTTAGTGGTTTTCAACTTTAACTGTATTGATTTCGTAAGGTTGCACCACCTGCCTTGATGTTGAATTAGGATAAGGTTGTAAGAAAGCTGAAGACAACTAGATTGCATCAATCAATGAAATAATTTCGAACTGTTTGTTAAAAACATACAAGATGCCTGAACGGGGTTCTCGAAATGTTACTGATAAATGATTATACTTTATTGTGTTGCATTTTCTGAGTTGGCTGGTTTAATCATGAAGGTTTTATTGTCTTTCTGGACAATATCATCACGACTTCTGCACGAATCATTCAGTAGCTTGTCCTGATGATACAAAAAATCCTATGCAAACATTTGTCCAACAATCAAAGGAAACAATCATTCACAAGCTACTGACTGAATGACATCATGAAAAATTGGGATAGCTCAATTCATATTGAAGTTAGCGCTGATGATATTATCTAGAAAGATAATAAACGCTTCATGATTAAACCATTCAGCCTAGAGAATGGAACGTAGACAGGATCATTCAGGTGAGCTGCAGATATATTTCAGTAGTTTATAAATGGCCATAAACTGTCATTGACACGGCTTGAACTTAGCAACAGTGAGAAATATATGCTAAACCTATATCATTTCTAAATCTCTGAATATTTCATTGATTTTTCTTAACTTGAATAGATGCACATTTGTCTTGTTCTTCATCCATTTAGTGTCTGTTGATGGGATTTAGTCGTATGATTGTGAATTATTTTACTGGGCTTCTATTATAAACTTCATTATTTGATGCAAGGCGTTAAATGAGATTTTAAAAAAGAGATATTCAGCGAAGAGGACTCTTTTCAATAAATTTATTCTCAAGCTGTACATTCATATATATATATATGATGTGTAAAGACAGTAATCCGTGATGAAGATTTGACTTAAATAATGGGGGGTTGAAATAATAATAATGGTAGTTTTAGTAATAATGTCCACCACCACTATATAGTTAAGAACATAGGCAATATCGAGACATCTGCACAGGAGCCCATATGCCAACACAGACTGATCAATTCGATCCAGTCAACGACAGTGTGATATAAGCAATAACACTAATAATGTTGTTAGTTGATGACGTAAAGGCCAAATGTTGCCAAACGGGGTTACATAAGATTTTTAAATCGTTCATAAGGTGCATGTAGATTAAAAAGGGGTGAAAACGTGATACAGTTAACAAACAACCAAAGGATTAGGTAATTGGAATAAGACAAGAGGTTAATTGGAATAAATTGAAAATGTTCTGTTGAAACTTGTGATTATTAGGAAGATCAGATGAAATAACACTGGCAACAATTAAGTATAAATAGTAAAGTAATAATGACGACATAATGAAACTGACAGTTTGTAGATATTTCTGATTACTTGGTTGTATTGTGTTCTGTGAGTTGGGCAGTTGATTCGTGAAGATTTCATCGTCTTTCTAGACAACATCAATGCATGTGGATAATTATGGATATGAATTCAGTTTCGGTAATGTCGAAATTTTGGACAGAGAGTGGAAACACAAAAAATATTAGAGAATTCCTAGAAGCTTGGCATTCAAGTCAGTCAGTCAGCAATCAACGGATGTATAGACATGGACCTAATCTGTCAATCAATCAGAAAATGGTAAGCAACAGAAAGGTCAGAGGTCCAGTAAAGGAATACTCAACAGGAAAATCTGTTCATTCAATGACACAACAGTTAAAGGGAACAACCAATCAGGAACCATTTCATCAGGACAGGCTACTTAATCACTCACGGAGAGATATTGATAGCTCACTTCATACTGATGATGTCGTCTGGAAAGATGATGAGAGCTTTACGACTAAACAACCCAGCTCAGGTAACACGATACAACCAAGACCATCCACCTAAGCTACAAATATTCTGCACTATTCCTGATTACTGCTAATATGTGAAGCGTAGTGGATAACTGATGTGAAGGCATACCACTTCCAACAACCCTCCAGTGGAGAATAAACAGTTGTTTTTTGTCTCTTAATTCCCAGTGTTTCTCAGAAGTACGTGAATTGCTTGTATTAGCATCTTCATATGACTGAAATGATCAAATCCGTTAACTTGAGTAGGAATGATTGGAAATAAGTTATTCGACTGCATGCTTGTGCATTAGGTAATGAGAAACGAATGTTGTTTGGGGACTAATGCTGACTGTCTAAACGTTGATGGGTAGAGCCAGGTCCAAACCACTAATTCATTGGTTAGAAGTCGAATGTCTGGACTAGTGAGGCATAACTGTTGTTTAATTACACATCGGTCCGAGTATTTTAAACAGTAAGGAAGTTTTTCTCTCACTTGTCTTTAAATAATTATTCAGTGGTTGATAAAATGTCGTCTGAAAAAAACATTTGAAACATTCCCTTTTATGATTTTAGATAACCATTCTTAGACGTATTCCTGAGTCGATGAGATGATTTAATAAGACGGTCAGTTTTGCAGAAAGTCTAGATGGACAGGATAATACCTTAATTTTCACAGATTTTGTCCAACACAATACAAGCAGCGTCTAGCAAAATATCTGTTTAATAGGATCTATCGTATCTGTACGATGGTTGAAGATATCAAATTATTGACCAAAACACTTATGGAGAATAGAAATCCGTTGAAGTTTATCAACCACTGTAGAGGTCAAGTAGCACCGAAGCCAAGTCGATAAGCGATTCCTGAGAAAAGTGTCTGTATCACTCTACCATACAAAGGGGAGTTGAATAGTATCATTTTGAGACGTAGGCTGATATCAGCCATTAAGAAAACATATTACGCAGCCGATCGTATTATTGTGGAAAAAACAAAACACATGCTTTACCGCAAACCTAAACACTGAATCAATGATTACTTAATATTCCATTGTGTTTACCAATTTATTTGTGTGTATATGGTCACACATACATAGGGAGGAGTAATCGAGTCATGCAGTTGAGGGTAGGAGAACATGTGCCTAAATGGCCTCAAAAACAAATGGAGTGTGAAACAGTGATAAACGCTGGTGGGAGATGACCCTCTTCATATATAGCTAAACATATCATAGAAACAGGATGCAAAATTAATGCTCGAATAACTTTCAAAGTTTTATATAGAAACAGTCAGGGACGTATATAACGATTTACCAAAGTTAAATTGAAAGCACTTTTTATACGTACAAAAACAATTTGTTCTTAAAATACATCTACCTTAGTAAACTTGATTTTCTTACCAAGATTAGGATCAACCATGTCACCCCTCCTATTTGTTCTCATTTTTCTTAATTTTAATCCCCTATTGTGTTAACTGTTTTATTGTCCTCCTACTCTTCAGTTTTATATATATATATCGACTTGACAAGTGGTAAATGTATGATGAGATTGTTCGGAATATGCATTGCTCAGATACATCATATACTGTTCAGATAAACTTTGTCTTCTAATTACAATCTTTGATAAGCATATTTTTACCAGTATGTCACATTAATGAACATTTGTAGGAATAATCCTTTTAGTATGATTATTAAAGTAATATAGTTTCATGCTTCATAATGATATTACAAAGTAGTTAGTCGACTGTGTTTCATTTTCAATAGTTCTGTTTTATATCACCATATGATGGATGATGTGCTTACTATGGTGTTACATGCTGTTGATAATTCTCTTTTAAGCAAAAACATTCATCTGCCTTATATTTAATTCGATTCACTACTGTGCATAAATATGTACATGGCAACTGTAATGTTTCTGTGTTTATTGATTTACTTCAATGAATAAATCACTATTAAGTCTTTAATTTATGTTCATGATTTCTTGATGAAAGAGATAAATTTTTTAATGGAATGTAGTTAGTGAATGAAGAACAATGAGAAAGAAAAAAAAATGAAAAACGGAATATTTTATAAAGTCAATAAATACTGTCAAACAGCTTGTCATACATTTATTTTATACCCTTCTTTTAATGGTAATTTTTTGAGAACTGATTGATTTCATGGTAGATTACGGTACGGATTGATATCATATGAAGATTAGTTGGAAATCTGGTAGTACTAGTCAGTTTCTTCATCGTAATTTTTGTTTTCTCACCAAAGCAGAACGTTGACCTCTTTGGTTATAGATGGATCACCTCAAAGTGTGGAGATCTACTGCACTGCACTCCACTCCACTCAACATAAAGCGTTAACAGGATCAGGATTTTCAACACTAATTCAG